TCTGGATAGGGGGTGGGGGGTGGGTGTGTACTTACCTGTGTTCCTAGCCGTCGTCCGCCGCCGCCCGCCGCCGTCCGACGACCGTCTAAACCGCCGGCAGGGAGGACGGAAGCAGAGGGTCGACGCGCCGGCGACTACTCCAAGGAAGAGCCGTTACGAGTTACAACGGGAAGGAGGAAAGTCAGAGCAGAGGAGAGAGAAATTTAAAAACTTATCGGACGAAGAACTCAAAAATCACATGCAAGCCCATGAAAATGTAAAAATGTCTACATTTTAAATATGGATCTTAGGACCATGTAAGCATCACTCTTTCAGGTCACCTAACGTTACATGGTTGATCATGCCTAGACCTGGCAAATCGGTCGGTCAGTTCGGGTTCGGTCACCTTTGGTTTGGGTTACTTTGGGTTTGGATAAGTTCAAGTTCGGGTAAATAACTACATCTTCATGACCAGTGTAATGGGGTTCGGGTTGACCCAAATGGTTATGAGTTTCATTTATTTTTTGAAATTTTAAGTAGTTTTTATGACTTAAGTGTCAATATTACGAATAAAAGAATATAACATGTAGAAATTTTGAAAAAATGTAAGATAATTATGCGACATCATTAAAATTTGTTATGATGGTATAAATCTTTACACAAAAAATGAGTACTAAGCAAAGAAATATAATTATAATCTTATTTTTATAAGAGTATATTTCATATTAAAATGTATGGTTCTGAAAAAATCTTAGATTAGCGGGTCGGTCAGGTCGAGTTTGGGTGCGGTCGGGTTTGACCCATTTTTAGCGGGTCATTTTGGGTTCGATCAACTTTGGGTTCGTTCATCAAAACCTTTGTTCAAAACCCAGCATTTTCGGATCGGGTCTCAGATCACAAACAGGTCGGATCATTTTTTGACAGGTCTAATCATTCATGCCATTATTTTTTTTTGTTACTCCATACATTGTTTTCCATTTTTCTATTATTAATGTATGTGAGGAACTCGATCTCTCTTCTTCATATAATTGAACTATACTTTGTATTTAATATAGGTTCATTTTTTAAGAATAATAAGTTACTCTCACTTTTTAGTCTAATTTTTTTTAATAATAATAAGTTACTTTGATCTTGCCTTTATTAATCAATTTAAATTTTTTAATAAATACTCCGGCCATCCCATAAACATTTTTTCCTTTCTTTTTTCGTTGTCCCACGAAGTCCTTTTCTTTTCTATTAAAAAACTATTTTTACCCCTACAATTCTTACATTACTTATCACATTATACCTTAATAATCTACTCATCACATCCTACTTTTAGACATCATAGCAAAGATGTTTTTGGAAAGTCAACACAAAAATATTTCTCCCTTAATTTTCCTAAAAGTCAAAATGGAAGGAATTTTAAGAGACAGACGAAGTATATACTTACTACGTAAGTATTTATCAAATTTTGACTATCTTTTTTACCTATAATTTCAATTAAAAAGGATATAAATAAAGTATAACTCAATTGTATGAAAAAGAGAGGGGGTCCCTCGTATATATTTATAATGAGAATTGAAAAAAATACTCCCTGCGTTCTAGTTAAAACTATCTTCCCGTTTGTGTTTACGAGGTTTGACCGACTTTATTTTCAATTCAATTTATTTAATTGTATGTGTAAAATTAAAAAAAAATTATATATTAAAAAACTAAATCAAAAGTTCTACAAAATAAGAGGTGACAAAACTATATTATTTTATCAAATAACTACCAAAAATAGGTAAAAAAAAGTGATTTAAGTTTGACCGTGTGAATAGTAACTGAGAAGATAATTTTAGGACGGATGGAGTACATGGACTAATGACAAATTTAACAGAAGGACAAATCATGCAACACATAGGTGATTTGAAGAACTATTCGTAAATTTTTAGAGTTAAAAAACTAACTATGAATAACACAATAACTTGAAAGACCACCAAACAAAGAAGGTATTGTTTGAGAAAGGCGGTTCCCATGACATTGCCCGGCAATGTCATGGGATGACCCGGGGTGGCTCGATGCCCCATTTGCAAGATTGACGGTTCCTACCCCCTAACCTCCCGGTAAATCCCCTGCCCCGACCCGAACACACCTCCCACCCCCTTCAATTATACCACACAAGTATTTGAATAAGTTATTCCCAGTAACCGATTCAAATAATCATTTGAATCGGTTATTGGGAATAACCGATGCAAATGCTAACCGGTATGCGATTTTTTTACAATTTAAATCGTTTGTTTTGCTGACCGATGCACATTGGGTGATTTATTTGGTCGTTTTTGTAGTAGTGATTTTGGAGTCAAATTTTGATTCCAAAGTCAAAATTAACTTGTAGAGTGCAATTGAAGGGGTGGGGGGTGTTCGGGTTGGGGCAGGGTGTGGGGGTTTACCGGGGGGTTAGGAGGGTAGAAACCGTCGATTTTACGAACGGGGTACCGAGTTGCTCCCGAGTCATTCCATGACATGGGGTTCCATAGTCTTTCCCTTTTTTTCCTATCCCAAAATGTTTTTGTTCTTTTTATTAAAAAACTATTCTTACTTTTATTAATTCCTATTCTACCTGTCACATCATATCTATTACCCCGTACTAATAATCTACCATCGTATTCTACTTTTACTCATCATATTAAGAATATTTTTAAAAAAATCAATAAAAATATCTCTCCTTTGCCTTCCATAAAAGTCAAAATAGAATGAGATTTAGGGCGGGAGAGAGTATATGAAAGCGAGTACCATAATCTACTAATGTGAATTTATGCAGCCAAAGTGTGTTTAATAATCTCTCTGTCTCCAATTTGATTATAAATTGAGGTTTACGAGGAGAAACATTTCAGTTTTTAAATCATTTTATTTACAAATCGATATATCGATATGAAATAAAAATTACATATTAAAAACTACGTCAAAAGTTTTTCATTCAAATTGCATTTGATTATCCTTCGTATATTCTCATAAGTAGTGTATTATGTGCTAATGTGCTATATCCTCTTTCCTCAATTACCATTGGGCATGAGGATTAACGGCCACTTTTAATTAACCTGCCTCACTTACATTACTTCAAGTGGGGGTAATTTTTAAGTGTGCACTCGAGAATCGAGACACTAAAAATATTACCCATTTATTAAACACAAAATACTCATTTATGACAAATTCTTTTCTTCTTCTTAAGTTTCATCATACTCATTTTATGTACCATAATATATAAAAATGTTATACGTATTGTAATTAACTAACAAACCACATCCCCTTGGTTAGCAAAGATTACAAACTTTACAACCACATCTTGCCTATTGAAGTTTGCCTAGATTATTTGATAAAAACATTAAAATTTAAATTAAAGACAAATGCAACTTTGGCGAGATTATTTTTGGCTGTAGTTCTGTTCAATTTAATTTTTTAAAAAATTTTCATCGGGTCGTGACAAGTTAGAGTTGTGTTCAATTTAATCTTTTAAAATTTTTAATCTATGCGAAATGAGTTTGTATTGATAAATAAATTTTTTAATATATTTATTTAATAATGATAGACTTAGAAAAAAACTTAAAAAAAGATTAAAAGGTAGGATTATTATATGCAAAATTTAATAGAATGTGAGGTTATTTTTCGTAAATCCACAAAAGCGTGATTATTATTTTGGGCAAGACAAATTCTTCCATGGTCCTAAGGACTATGGCATGAGCCCACATTTCACATCTAAATCTTAAGACCATGGAAGCACGACTCGACATGGCAAATAATAAAACACGAATTTCCAACTCACAATGTGTTAGCTTTTCCGTTAAGATGGAAACGATGATGACCCCAAACGCATACCTTGAAAAGTTGAGATTATTTCACATAAAATTAAAAAGTGGGATTATTTCTTGAAGACCGTCAAAATGTGGGAGTATTTCAGATAATTTCTCCCAAACTAAATAAAATTGGTATTATTAGATATTAATATTAAAATAGTTTTATTAGATATATCTTGTAAAATACTTTCAAAATATAATAATATATTATTTATATACTCGAGTGCCATATTATTTTTATTTAGTTATAGATCAAAGTTCAATCTTAATTAATTGTAAAATGTTAAAACATGACAACTTGGATGGATATACTACTGATACGGGCCTAACATCACACGAAGAGTTATTGGATATGGCCCACGACGTTACTGGCCCTACACGTTAAGCCCATGCGGAGTATGATGATGATCAAGAAGATGCCCAAGGAGCCGGACGACCAAAGCGGAATATACGACGACCTCAACGTTACGATGATTACATCTAATATTATATTATGTTCCTTTTATTATGTTCCTTTTATATTTGTAACTTAGATTTTGTTAGGTGGACAAATTATAAGTCCCTTCAAGGGTTCTCTTTTCGGTTCTTTCCCTTGACGCTTTTCTTGAACCGACACTACAAAATAAACGAGGGATTGGCACGGCTTTTGGCACGAACAACAGTTTTAGTTTCTCGTGGCTATGCTATTAGGCACGGGTTTTGGCACGGATACAAAAGGCTGCCAATTTCGAAGCTCCAAACTGTTTGGCACGGAAATCACGTCTGTGCCAACAGTAGAGACGGCGTCGCTTGTAACAAATTCGTTCCAAAGTAACGGTTGCAAGAATAACGTTAAAGATATTAGGCACGGATCTGCCCGTGGGAATCGCCCCGTTCGTATTTAGGCACGACTAAACCGCGGATTTTTTTGTCCCGATAGCATTTATAAAATATTGTAATAGTCACGGTACATGTCCGTGCCAAAAAAGCCACGTAGATATTCGTGCCTTTATTTTAGAACTTTTCAAAATATTCAAAAAATTTCAAAATTTTCAAATACGCGGGGAATTATATTTCGAAATTGAATTTTTTAGTCACGGCCATATCCGTGCCTTGATTTTGGAAATTTTCAAAATATTCAAAAATATTCAAAATTTTTAAATACGCGGGGATTAAATTTCGAAATTCAAATATTTTGTCACTGGCATATCCGTGCCTTGGATTTCAAAAAAATAAAAAAATTTAATTTTGTCACGGATTTATCCGTGCCTTAGTTTTTGAAAAAATAAAAAAAACAAAATCGAAAATAAAAAAATAATTCATAACACACCATAATTCAAATACGTAATAAATCACTCGCAGCATAATAAAGTAAAAATAAAATTAATGTCCACAATGAAAGTAATGTCTAGCAACGAAGATCACACACAAATGTTAATAAATAATTACAGATTTTCATTGTTTAGAAAACTGTTAACATCACAGTTATTTGAATTATGCCCCCCCAATTGAACGTTTGGCATTTGGGGGACGACCGTAGGTTGTTGAAAAACAGGCACAGGAGACATCAAGGGCTGCGAGGCACAATAATAAGAAGGGGTCATATGTTGATGAAGCAAAGGGCTTGGACTTCGTGGGGGTTGCACTGTCGGACGAAGAACCTGGAAACTAAGGCCTTGGGTCAAATAATTGACCGACTCTTTCAACCCCTGAAATTGACTTAACAAATCATGGGATTGAGCCTGATATTTCTTCTCTAAATCGGCACTTTTTTCCTGAAATTTTGCTTCAAATTTTTTCTCCAATTTCAGCTCCAATTCGGTCTTCAGCCGGGCAGCGTAGTCTTCATGACTAGTGCCTCCCGAGGAAAGTGATTCCGAGGATCCAGCTTCACAGCCCCGCCCGAAGACCCGGTTCTTGTTGTTCCCCACCACCTCGACGTACAACCCAAGGTCATCTTCTAGTTCTTCCTCAGCAACATCATCAAGACTTATAGAATT